AAAGTTTAAATGTGACAAGTTAAAATATAAGATAATATAATACATAAAGAGATTCCCAAATAAAGTTTCACAGGTTGATCAGCACAACATTGAAAAACTACAACTCCACCTCCGCCTCCATTACCCACAATCCCCTTGTGCGGAGAGCAGAGGCAGCTCCACGTGCTCGGAGATTTAAAGAGTGCGTGCAGCTCAGAGGAGGGCGGGAAAGTGTGTCACTGGGGCACGAGGCTCTCCCCGCGGTCACATGGTCTCGTTTTCTGCCGCGTGCGGCCCCGCGAGCTCACAGCATCATCATCATCATCATCGTCATCATCGAAGCTGCTGCGCGCGCGCCCTGTTTGAACCACACAGAGCAGCGCGTGCAGCAGATGACAGAGTCCTCGTGCAGCAGACACACATCAGAGCAGTGCGAGACACGATCATGGAGTAGAACCAGAACCGAGTTCTTCTTTTATTTTCGGTGGTGTTCGGTCCTCCTACGTGACATTACCGGAGCTCAGGATGACGACCACCGCCATGGACACAAATAATAACAACAACAATAACAACAACAATAACAACGGCAGTACAGGTAAATAAGTCACTTTAAATCGCAGACAGCTAACTGAGTTTTACTGCGTCGATTGGTGGGTTTGTGTGAAGGTTCGAGCAGAGTTCGGTTCTGAACCGTCGCCTGCATGTCTGTGGTTCTGAGCTTTGTGTTTGTTAAAAAGCGTCACTTTTGATGTGGGAGTTGTTCAGCAGAGCTGCTGCGCGTCTAAACGCTCCTTGTGTTCGTCGCGAGCAGCCTCACCTGAGAGGCTGCAGACTGAGTCCCTTCATGGATAAACTCAGTTTGTGCGGCCGCGGTGCGTGTTGACGCAGCTGCTGCAGGTAAACTGAGTTTTCCGCTCAAAGGTTTTTAATGTGAAGCTTTTGACGCTCTGACGGTAAAACAGGAACCAGCTGGAGGTTCACGGAGAGCTTTGACGCGCGGCGCTATGGTGCGTTAGGAGACATGGGACCTGGTGAACAAGGGAACGAGCCCCCCGATCATCAAACCGAATCAATCAATAAATCATTCAGAGCTCTTCAGGACGCGGCAGATTGACGCTCCTGTGGCGGTGCGTAAAGACCGTCTGTTGGTAACTGTGTTTTACTGAGTTTCAGTGGTCCCGCAGGTTGAATCTGGACCGACGGGATCAGTCTGGTTGATCCCGCAGGTCCAGCTGGTGCCGCACTGTGTGTCTGCCTCCTCTCCGCACCGCCAGCATCGCATCATTATAAATGAAACAGTAAATGTGTATAAACCGGTGCCGGTGCTGCAGGATCATGTTTTGCGGTTGTTCGGACTCAGACGCCCCCCCCTCCTCGTCGCGCACATGTCCGCTCGTCATCACGGGGACCGTCACCGTGAATCCGCCCCGCATTTCGGGGAACTGGGTCACGATGACAGCGCTGGGTCGGCGGGTCGCGCGGTGTCAGGTGGATTTGGTACGTGTGTGCGTGGGCGCGTACGTGTGCGCTTGCTCGCTCCGTCACAGCGTCCGTTGCCGGTTCACATGGACCGGCACACCGAGCCATGTGCGCTTTGTTTTCACTGGGCTCGGCGCGCTGTGATTGGCTGCCCGGAAGGACTGAGCTCATTACGTAATTCGGCTCTCCCTGCTGCTGTTCGTTTCTGTACGGATCAAACTGCTGATCAGATCAATAATCAGTCACTGATCTGTGGACATAAACACAGTTTTTATGTTTTTATTTTGGACACTGAGTAAAAGTTTTGTTTTTCTTTAGGATTTTTGATGTAATCATTTATAAACTATGTCTTATTACAGCAGCTCGTATTTAAATATCTGCGCAGCCAATCAGTGACTCACATTCAGTCCGCAGCTGCTCAGAAATAAATCAGCAAAATACCTGCAACTCATTATCAGGACCGGTAATTATCAGCATGTCCACAGAAACACACAGCAGCAGCACAATTTCTGTGTTTTAATACTGATTCAAGAGCAAAAGTTCTGTGTTGGTAATAGTGAATCTAAAGTACATGTAGTATAAATATGACATGTTCTGTGTTTTCATCGTGACTCCAGAAAAACTGCAAACGTTTACAAGTTAGTTCCAGGTTTGTGGATTCATCACATTCTCAGACGACAGTTTCATCAGCTGATAAAGATGAAATATGAACGTGTAAACGAACAGATCCAGCTGAGTCACAGATTTGTCACATTTCAGAGTCTTTGCTGAGCTGCTGGAAGGAAAATGTGTCACAAGTGTAAAGTAATCAGGGCAATGATCGCTGTGACATAAAGCAGCTGCTGTAAATCTGATCAGACTGATTAAAACTGAAACTGTGAGGTTCAGGTCAAGACTTATGCTGCTTCAAATTGAGAAATGTAAAACCAGGTAGAAACACTACATTACCCATGAGGCTCAGCTGCTGTTGCTGTGGCGAAGGAGCCTGTTTCCATGGTTACCGCCTCCATTCCAAACTGATCAGAAACATTTTAACTGCTGAGTGTTTTATCAGGTTTCTACACAGTAGAATGATTTCCAGCTGCGGCCCTGTCATTGGCTGTTTGTGGCGCCCTGGGAGTTGTAGTCTGTGCTGCAGCTGGCGATAGCATCTCTTCAGTTGACATTTATTCATTCATAGAGCAGGTTGTGATATCTGTGGAGCTGAATCAATTATTCATCAACCATTAAACCCCTCTTATGGTGTTAATCGATGAAGCAGTTTGAGTCAAGTTTTCATAACAACTGTGCGAATTCTGTGGTTGCAGCTTGTTAAATGTGAATTTTCTGGTTTCTTTCCTCCTCTCTGACAGAAAACTTAATATCTTTGGACAAAACAAGACATTTAAGGAAACAGAGATCTTCCTTTTTTTTTTTTTTTTTTTTTACCATTTTCTGAAATTTTTGAGACCAAAGAGCTGATCGATAATAAAAACAAACTCCACTCAGGCACTGAACTGTGTGTTAAAACACTGTCAGCTGCAGGAGGAGCTCAGGGTGGATGGAGGGCATGAACAGTTCAGAGCGCAGGTTCACCTAATTCAGATTTATCAGCTCTTATCACCAGCAGGTCGCCCCCTCCTTCCCAGTCACCTTCAACTTCTGTGAATAACTGCATGTAAAACTTCTTGTGGTGGCGTCACCGTGGAAACATACAAAAACTCCAATCAGGCTGCTGAGTTTCTTTCTAAAGCAAACCGAAGCAAACATTTGAAATGTTGCAAGAAATGAAACTAGACAATGTGAATGAGGGTACAATAAACAGAGGAGAAGAAGACGGAAACAACAGTTGTTTGCCACAGACAATAGTTCACAAATAACCCACAACAAGATACAACAACTTCCTAAGAAGCCGGGATATGCGGAAAATAATTTTGCTTTGTGCTAATAAGAAAATATGTTAAAAAAAAAAAAAAAACAGCCATAAAGAGACACAGTAAGACATAACAATAACCACAAAGGGACAAACAACAGCAAAGAGACACAAAACAGCCACAAAGAGACACAAAAAGTTGCAAAATCACCACAAAGAGACACAAAATTAGCTAAAAGTGACAGAAAACAACAACAACAAGACGCAATGACCACTAAGAAAAACAAACAACTGCACAGAGATGCAAAAAGGCATTCTGTAGATCTAATATCATATATAATACAGTTGTGCTTCTTTCATTCGGCTGCTTTTGTGTATGTGTGTGTGTGATGAATGGCGGGAACGTGAGAACGTGTGCAGCAGGACGAGGTGTAGCAGTGGGCGGGGCCTGCTGCAGCCAGTCTCGTTGCAGTGGCGGCTGTGTGGGGGAGGCACGTGTCTGGGGAGGCGTGGCCAATCAGAGGACACGAGCCTACTGCACGAGGGAGGGAGGGAGGGAGGGACGGGGGAGGATTCACTGACACACTGTGACTGTACTATATTTACATAGTGCTGTATGTACTGTAGGTTACTGTAGTACTGCCGTATAGTATTACAGTACTGCAGTATAGTGCTCTCAGTATAATGTCTTTCAAAAGTATTCACTCGCCCTGGAAGTTGTCGTCTTTTATTGCTTTTCAGTATTAGATCATGGTCAATTTAATTTTGCTTTCTAAGTATATTTTGCAAAAAAAACAACAACAACAACATTCTTTAATGTGAAAGTGATGATTTCTACAAAGTAATGTCAAATAATTAAAAATATAAAACGAAAAATGAGTGACTGCATAAGTTTTCACCTCCTTTAAAGTGATTCAGCTAAGAAATGAAAGGAATATGGTACATGTGTAAATCTGCCTACAGCAGAACGTCCACAAACAATCAGTGACCAAACAAGAAAGAAACAAGTGAAGGAGGACACCGAGACACTTGTGACTGCTCTGAAGGAGTTACCAGCCTCAGAGGCTGACATGGGAGAGACAACAACTGTTGTCTGTTCTTCACCAGTCTAAGCTTTATGCTAAAGTGACAAAAGACAATGACACTGTTGAAAAAAAGCTCGTATTAAATCTGGTGTGGAGTTCACCAGAAGGCATGTGGGAGACTCTAAAGTCAACTGGAAGAAGGTTCTTTGGTCTGATGAGACCAAAATGGAGCTTTTCGTTAACCAGGCTAGTCGCTATGTTTGCCAGAGACAAAACACTGCACATCATCATAAATACACCATCCCCACTGTGGACCATGGAGGTGGCAGCATCATGATGTGAAGCATGGAGGTGGCAGCATCATGATGTGAAGCATGGAGGTGGCAGCATCATGATGTGAAGCATGGAGGTGGCAGCATCATGATGTGAAGCACGGTCGTGAGTACGAGCTTGCAACCCCTTCAGAGGAGTCACAGGTGTATTGGTGACCTCGTGTCTTTTCTGCTCAGTCACTCCATTTTTGAGGTTGTGCTGTTCTCAGCAGAGATTCATACAAGTTCAGTTTTCAGAGGAAAGAAAGAAAGATGACTATAAACTTCTCGTTTTTTTGGGAGGGGGGGTTCATTTGCGTCAGTCTGCGTCTTTCCGTGGTGTTTTTGTCTTCTCGTGGTTTCTTTGTTACGTGTTAGTTACCACAGATTTTTTTTCAATTTACATCTCCCTTGTGTGTGTCTGTGGGACTGTGCGTGTCTCAGGTGTCGCAGATTGTTGTCGTTGCATTGTTGCTGTCTTGGTGACCCAGTTAGCTGTAGCCCCATTGTGTTACATAGCAGGTGTAATGGATCAGAGTCAGGACGGTGTGCATGACTCACCACGTGTTTACAGCATCGCACAACACCTGAACAATATTACACAACACCTGAACAGTGTCACACAACACCTGAACTCCATCACAAAACATCTGCACAACATCATACAACAAACACTTGAACAACATCATCTGCTCGCTTCTCTGTGAGGATGTTTGGCTGCAGTTTAGTTGAAATGAAGTGATGTCAGTGTGCATCAGTGTGTAGAGGAACAGGAAAATTAGCTTTAAACAACCACAAAGACACAAACAATCCCAAACAGACACAAAAAGTCACGAAATGACCACAGACTGTGTGTTTCTGTGTGAGTCTGTGTGTTATGATGGAAGCCGCAGCAGGTTTGTGAATAAATTCAGACGGTGTGTCATTCAGACAAAAGGCTTCGTCACGTGCAGCTCTGACACGTGCAGCTGCAGCGTCGCATCAACACACATTCACACCTGCATCACAGTAACACACAGTCAGAGAGACTCACACTCAGTGAACAGGTTCAGTGAATCTGCACAGCGTCATTAAAACATGTACAAGAGTCTGATGAAGCCTCATCCAGCAGCTCAGTGTTCATGTTGTCACTGTTCTGCTGCACTCACTGTCTGTACACAACCTGCTGCGCACCACATGATGACAAGGAGACACAAATTACCACAAACTGATAAAAATATGACTGCAAAGATGCATAAAATTACCACAAACAGGCACAAAATGATTGCAAATAGATACAAAACCACCAAAAAGAGACACAAATCGATCGCAAAGAAACACAAAATGACTCCAAAGAAACACAAAGAGACACAACATGACCACAAAGAGAAAGAAAAGACACTCGACTACAGAGACACAAACAAACACAAATCCACTACAAAGAGACACCAAATGACACACATCGACTACAAAAACACACAAATCTTCTCCAAATGCACACACGGGGCTCAGAGCCCAGGTTTAGAAACACATGTAGTATGTTACAGTCCAGAGGAGGGAGGAGTCTGCATACAGGCTGTTCCCTCACCCCCCTTTCTATGTTCCCGGAATTCCTAGAAAGTCTGTTTGTTTTGAACTTTTACTACACCCCCCCCACCCCCCCTTTGTTACCACGACGACAGGGAAACATCCAGGCAAAAACACCACCTCCTTCCCCCTCCCACTGCGCCCAGAGGCTCCGCCCCCTCATGCCGAGCAGCGTGAGGTCACTGAACTGAACCATTTAGTTTGAGAGCTTCAGTCTGGGAGCAGCTGCAGCAGAGACAGAGACAAAGATTCATATTCAGTCACATCACATCTCCACCTCTCAATAGTTAGGCACAAAACACCACAAATCCACGATGAAAAGTCACAAATCGACCACAAAAAGACACAACAAAAAAACCCCTCACAAATCTCCTACCAAAAGACACAAATCTTCCACAGAGAGTCACAAATGGCCCACAAAGACACAACTCGAGTTTTTCTGGCTCTCTTGCTGCCAGATTTTTACCCTTGATTTTACAGATCTTTTTTTAGAGTGCACTTTTCCCTCTGAGACGCTGCAGTGTATTTATAATCAAATGAGTGCGTTTTAATGCTATCATCGTATCGGTGTTCTCTGTTCTCCGGTTTGACTCCTAGAACATCATCTATCAGTAGTTAAAGCTTCACCAACTGAATTTTATCAGTTAACCTTTAGATTATTTTCTGGATTCCAGTTTGTTTGTGAAATGTCAAAAAGTCCAGTTCAGTCAATATAAAGTCTTTGAACTCTGACCACAGTAATACCTGAGCTTCTCTGTTCTCCTGCAGGAGGTGTTATCTCCTATGTGGGTTCCTGTGGAGGTTCTCCGACCAGAACCAGTCCAGTCTCCATGTACAGCGAGAACTCCTCGTCCTCCCTGACTCCGCCCTTCCTCAGCAGCAGCTCCAGTTCTGGTTCAGCAGGAGACGACGGTTCCTCCTCAGCCTCCTCCTCGGCTGGAGGTTCTCCTCGAGGCCGCGATGATGGAGGTTCTCTGAGGGCATCGCCCAGCAAGTCTGTGGCCAGTCTGACCAGTAAGAACCCAGTTTGTTCTGTTACTGAGTGGAAATGAGGGATCGCATATTTAAAAGAGTGAAGCTGACAAGAATTCAACTCCTGTCATGGTTCTTTAATCAGTTTGTTGGTTTCAAACAAACAATAAAATAAATATTGGACAAATTAAACCAAAAAATGAGTTGCGTTTTCCATTGGAAAAATGTAAAAATGGGCCAGTTTTATGTTTTTATGTTGTTTAAAAAGGATAAAAGAAAAAAAGCCCGTTTTCATTTTTCCATTTCAGTTTTTAGTTTAAATTGGAAAAAAGGCACAATTTCAATTTTTGCTGTTTCTTTAAACCGGAAAAAAGAAAAAATGGGCCAAGTTTTCATTTTTCAGGGTTTTTTTGTTCACTGTTGGTCTAAAATATAACAAAAAAATTCTCCTTTTTGGTTTAAAATTGTCTGTCAGTACTGAACACTCTGTAAAGCAGTGATTCTGTGTTTCAGAGCTGAATGGGATGATGCTGCTCTGTAAGGTCTGTGGTGACGCTGCCTCAGGTTTCCACTATGGAGTTCATGCCTGTGAAGGCTGCAAGGTGAGAAAACATCACTGACTGATTCACCATCAGCACAGATTACAATACAGTCCAAAGCACGAGGAACCACACGCGTTCTGCTCTCAAGCCAGTTGAGCTTGAAATAAATTTGTGGAACCACGTTAAAAGTCTCAGATTTAATGTTGTTCCTTGGTTGTATTCAGTCACAGAAAATGTTGAAAAGCTGTTTTATAACCAGTGGATAAATAAACCTAATCTGTAGATGAAGTAAATGTTCCACAGAGCTCTGAGTGACTGTACCTGCAGACTATCAGCCTGAATGAAGCTTCAACCAACATAAACAGCTGGTATTAGCATCGTATTTACCAGATTTTACATGTAATAGTCCTTCAAAATGAGCAGTAACAACTGAGATTAATGAGAACAGATCGTCCTGCAGGATACAGACGTTGTTTTCTAACTTTATTTCACACTAAATACGCCTGAAGAGCTGAACATTTGTCAATGTAGACCTGAATCAGCTGAGTAGAAGTGACTCAGACAGGTGTACAGGTGTGTGTCTGACTGCCGTGTTCCGTGTCGTCCTGCAGGGGTTCTTCCGTCGCAGCATCCAGCAGAACATCCAGTACAAGAAGTGTCTGAAGAACGAGAGCTGTACCATCATGCGGAGCAACAGGAACCGCTGCCAGCAGTGTCGCTTCAAGAAATGCCTTTCTGTGGGCATGAGCCGAGACGGTGAGTGGACACCTGTGACAGTCATGTTTTCTAAAGAACCCACAAAGATGCCCTCAAAGAACCATTGAGAAATAGTTCCTTTAGGCACCATTAATGTCACTCCAAAGAACTTCTTCTTTAAGATGCCCTCAAAGAAATATTTTTTCATGTAGTTCTTTGCAGCAGTTCTGGGTTCCTTCATTAGAACACACTTTATATTTTTGCTTCTGGACTGCTGGTCAGACAGAACAACATGTTCTAAGATGTCAGTTTGGGATTTGTGAAACTGTGATGAACATTTCTCTGTTTTCAGATTCAAATAATTCATCCAGAATAAAATAATGTTGAGCTGCACCTCTAATGTAATGCTGTTACCTGTTACCAAACCAAAGAACTCCAGTAAACGAGTAACCGAATAACAAAGAACCATCCTCTAAATAAAGAGGTTCTTCAGCTGGTGATGGAGACGATCGTCAGTGTGAACCTGCAGTAACACTTCTTCCTCCTCTTCTTTTGTCCTCAGCCGTTCGTTTTGGGCGGATCCCGAAGCGTGAGAAGCAGCGGATGTTGGCGGAGATGCAGAGTGCCATGAACAACATGGTGAACAACCAGCTGCAGAGCGACTTCCAGCTCGCCAGCCTCTCATCTTCATCTTCCTCCTCCTCCTCCTCTTCCTCCTCTTCATCCTCCTC